TTACAAAGCTGCATCACTATGTCTAATCATGGCTGTGTATGCGTCTTGAAACCTACACGTCTGTATAGACGCGGTGAATAGCCGTTGAAGGAGCTCAGTTCTGAGCCCCTCATCTTCTTGGCCCAGCAACGACCGGAGGCCAAGTTTGGCAAAGTCCGCAACGTACGAATACGCCTTGGCTCTCTCAAACAGACCAACAACATGATTGTAGTAATGGCCGAGACCTTCGGAGAACGAGTTTCGCTCTACTTCAGACACCAGGCCCATTGTGTCTTGTTCCGCCACATCGAACATGGCACCAAGAGCTGCAAGAGTTAGCGTCGCTCCAGTATGGCTCTATTTGACTCTTACCCAAAGTGTATGCAGGTTTCTGGAAGCACATCGATGCAGTCGCGTTGTCTCCCAATGCGATGTATAGCCGGCCTCTCATGTAAGACGCCCAATAGCCTTCGATGAGGAACTTGGAAAAGTCCATCGCAAGGTCATACTCTCTTTGTGCCAGTAGAATACCCATGATATCTTCTACCACGGCCTCGTACTCGTGCTCCTCGAAGATTGATGTCAGCCAACCTCGGCTCCATTTCGTAAGTAGATCAGCCTTCAAGTCCTTCGGTAACGGTACTTCGAATGCACGTCCACCGTAAGCGCCTTCGAGGACTGTTTGCGTGATGGGAAGCTTCTTGCCCACCTTCAGCGTCTCGCTCAGTGCCCGGTTTACGTTCTCTGATGCCAGCCCGGTTGCGCTTTGGTGAGCCCAAACCGTGCCAGCCAGCCAAGATACCACCAAGCAATCCTTGTAACGGAGAATCAACTCGGCAAAGACCTCTGGCGCATCAAAGTCCTCAAGACTTTCTCCTTCCAGCTCAATGAACATGAAAAGCAGGAGAACAAGCAGGTCTAACAACACATCACGATCACCCTCTAGAGTTTCTTGAGAAACTCTAGTCAAGGCGCTCAAGCCATACCGTGCAATCTGCCTCCTTGGCTGGGGCTTGCCGTCTTCCTCGTAACCTAGTATCTTGATGGCACGGAGGAATGTCTCAGTACCGAGATCCTTGACCTCCATACCCAGTTCTTCGACAAGCATGGTGACGTCTTCGTCAGACACTTGCTGTGAAAGCTCACTGTTGGCTTCGATCCATTCCATTCGATCCAGGATGGTGATGTTACGGCTCTGAAGTATGTCCATCTCCAAATGTCTTCGCACCTCGTGCTGAACAAACGATGGCAGCCGTTGTCTAAAAGAAGCCGCCGCATTCAGCAGTCGCGCAACGTCCCGTGACTCGGAAGTATCCAACGTCTTGCGGAGTGGTTTGCTCAGTGTGCGCGAACTAGAGATGACGCTGGCGTTTAGCTTGGTGATCTCAGATTCGCTACAAGTCCGTATCGCAGACACATAGTCACTTAGGACAAGCCATGGCCTACCCGAATCCCGGTCATACACAAGTGAAAGTGATTCTCCTCTCCGCTTGTGCAGGTCTTTTACAAGGCTGTAGTACGCTTGCCATTGCACAGCTACAGCATCCTCGATTTCGTCCGACTCACGGCTTCCGTTCACAGCGAGAGTAGTGACAGCAGCGCACAGGCGTTCTTTGAGAGAGCCTCTACTAGATGATCGACCTGGCCGGTCTTGTTCGAGTCCTCTTTTGTAAATATACAACGAAGTTTCCAGTGTTGCGGTGGTAAATCTGCCGGGGTAGAATAAGAAGTCGAGCCATTTCTCAGTGGAGTCAAGATCATCATGATCAATGACCTCGTCCCGCTCGCTCGGGTTGGCAGGATGAGACCTTAGTGCATCAACAGTCAGAGGACCAGATTCCACACAAACCCAGTCATTCTTCCAGGCCTGGGTTCGGGCTTCTGGCGTATCGGTGAGATCGAACTTCAAAGAATAAATTTTGCTGCTCGGTCCAGATCTTGCGCGGATCCAAATTTCTGAGCCTCTCCATCCGCTAGGTCCGGGGACAATGTGAAATTCTTCCAGCGTCCAAACAGTCGTCTTCATGAGCTCGTCGATTGGGGGAGTGAAATCCGAGTCCTCGGCAGCATCGTAGAAACCCAACTCTGCGTCATCTGCGTCTCTGACGCCCCAAAACTTGAACTGGTGCTGCTTCGGCGAATACGTAACGACATGGTAATCAGCGCCTCCAATTCCACCAATTACTTCTACAACCTGCATCAGCATTGACTGCGAGGGCCCAATGGAATATGAAGTATGCGACTTCTCCAAAGCCATTTCATCGGCGCCCAAGAGATCTATATGAGCGCCTGACTTCCCTGATGCGATGTTCCATGCCCGTATGGTGTGATCTAAGCAGACCGAGAGAATATGGTTCTTTTCAGGCGATATAGCGACGGCGGCAGCAGCAGATGTAGCAAATTCCGCATTCTCGAACCGGACTGTGGGCTGTGCTTTCCAAGACAGAAGGCCGCGCACCGACCAGTTGTTCTGTTGATATCGCGATCCGTCCCAGGTGGCGTTGGCCTTGTCCCACACTAAGCGGCATATGGCTCCATCGTCTAGAGTGACCAGCAATTCATCAGCACTCTCAGCGACGAGCCTGAAGGGTATGCGCCCGCTGAAGAGTGCTGGCTCAACTCTCTTGCACCAAGTCTCTGGGTCCTGCTCCGAAGCCGCAGGGGTAGCAAAGAAGTCTCGATGTAGTGTAATTGTGTAAAGCTCGTTGGCGGTAGTGATTGCAAAAACGGTCAAGGCGTCTCGGTCGACGGGCTCTGCGAAGGCGACACAGAAAGGGCGGATTGGCGCAGGGAACTGGAAAAGAAGAGTGAGAGTAGCCTCAAACTTGTCAGTAGATTCGTGGTCTAAATCTGTTGACTGTATTTCCAGCATCTTTCTGTTATCCAACACGCGCCAAAGAAAGCTTCGTGGGTAGCCATGATGCCGCCGAAAGTACATGGATCCATCTGTTGCTAAATGGCGCCTGGTAAAGGCGTCTTCATCCTTATCGACATACTGTTCGGTGATGACACTACGCTTTATGCTAGAGCGGCTGGCGAAAGGAGAGTATGCTGGGATGGTGAATGCGATTGTTGACCCAGGGAAGGCGGGCTCAATGTTCAATCGCGCCTCTTTGTAGAGACATGTGCCTCCGTTTTGTGACATTCTGCTCGCATGCGAAGGTCCTGCGATTACTATGGCGGCGAGCTGGAGGGTACAGTGTGTGGTCGGTGTGGGTTGCGGCAGTCGGCGCGGAGGTGGAGCTCACAAAAACAGTGGTCGCGATGGGAATGCGCGAGGAAAGCTGCTAGCGCACGGCCCTTCCTGCGAGCGGCTTATTCCTGGCCACAGATCATCCACGACACTACTAGTAGTAAGTATACTATAAGTGATGGCTGCGTCTGCAACAAAGAAACCCCTGTCAACTCACGAATGCCTTCACTTGGACTCGTATCGTGGACTGGAAAATATGAGGGATATCATAACATTGCATGAGCATAAATCGTTGAACGCAAACCGCAATTACTTAAATCACCATCGTCCAGTCGCCTTCCGCCCCAAAATCGCCAACCTAAACAGACACCGACCGCTCATCACCTGTTGTTCCTCTCCTCCAAATCCTTCTCCTTCGGGTCTCCGATACCGTCCTCATTGATGGCAAACAAGCAATCGCTCTCGGGCAAGCATGGACTGTCGTAGATCTTGCAGACACGCGTCTCTCCTCTACCCTTCCTCAAACTGAGACGCGTCGTACTTGCGTGTGCGATAATGTTTCCTCCAATGGGCTTCTTTGGGTCTGGGTTGAACATGGCACTTGGCCCACCATCGACCTGTGCAACTACCTGGTTCGTGATGATGACGGCGATTCCAAACTCGTCTGCGAGCCGTTGTAGGGTGCGCATGAACTTGGCTAGGTGCGTCTGCCTCGCAGAGAGCTCACCACGTCCTGCAAAGTCTGTACGATATAATGCAGTAGCAGAGTCAACGACCAGCAGCGAAAAGCGTGTCTCGGTCATCATTTGGGCGGCCTGATTGAGGAGCTCCAGCTGATGATCTGAGTTGTATGCGCGAGCATACGCGACGTTGTCAAGAACCTCTTCGCCCGAAAGTCCAAACCGATTTGCAACGGCCAAACATCGGACTGGTCGGAAAGTGCCCTCAGTGTCGATATATAGACATTTACCTTCTCCGCCTCCCATATCGAAAGGCAACTGGCAGGTGACAGCCAGAGTGTGGCAGATCTGACTTTTTCCTGTTCGGAATTCACCAAATATCTCTGTTATGGAGCCCGTCTCAATACCTCCTGCAAGAAGCGTGTCTAACTGCTTCGATCCGGTCGTGATGGATATTAGTTCGCTTCTGCGCGAATGCATCTCTGTGGCCGTAGTAAAGCCCATAGGTACAAGTTTCGACGCTGAATCGGTTAGCAAGAGATACCTGGGCCGGTACTTTGATACACACCCTCAGCTAGTAACTTGGTCGCCTTTTGTTCCGATATACCCTTGATCTGTTCGAGCGTTCGTCGCGGCCTGGCAAGCGTTAGTGGCGGAGCTGGATATGATACGGTGCCCAACGTACGTGTAAGCAATGGATTCCACTGTGTTGAAACCGCCCTCGATTACTAGCTTAATATCGCGTGCCGTAAGTCCATTGACGCCCTGAATTACTGTCAGCACACACCAAGGTACGAAGAATGATTTAGAGCCTACCTCAAGTGCAGAAACGGGCGTTGGTGCACCAGGGCCGCCCATTGTGCTGTCGTCATACTGCTCTTCTTCGTTGCTCATATTGGGAAGTTTTGGAGTATAGGTATTTCAGGGATGTAGTGGCAAGTGGAAGAGTCTGAGTTGTGAGATTGTGAGAACGTGCAGGTCTAAATGCTTGAAAGGGAAGGATGAGTGGCGAGCGGGCACCGACAGTCGTCGCGTCTCACTAGCGCTGAACGCGCACTCACATGACCTGAGGAAATTGCCACACGCCAGGCTTCCACGCCTCTTTCTGGCACTACCCAACAACACTGCACAATGTGTCCCGCTCCACTAATCATGTGTTTGTACGTCTTGTTCTTATTTTTAATTCTCTATGTATTCGTGGTATCATTGCACTTTAAACTCTTTGGCAAAATTCAACAGACCTACTCGTCATCACCAAAGAACACTTTGACAGGCAGCCAGGCGTCTCCGCAAACCTTGAAGCGCTCAGGCAGCGAGCTGATTTCCTTCATCTCCTCATCAGTCAATTCCCAGCCGTCAAGCTCAAAGTTGCCCATGATGCGAGATGCTGTGACAGACTTGGGGATGACGCTAGTGCCGCGCTGGAGACCCCACATCAGCAGGACCTGCTGGACAGACTTTCCCTTGTTCTCGGCAAGCTTCTTGAGCTTCTCGTTCCTGTACAGAGGAGAATCGGTGGAGCCAAGGCATGAGTAGGCGGTGCAGTGGATGCCCTTCTCCTTGCAGTAGTCGAGGAGCTTGGGTCTGCATCCGTTGTCAGTCTGTGTATCGTTGTATGATGTGAGTGAGTCTAGCTTACGAGGGGTTGTTGGGGTGGAGCTCGATCTGGTTAACAGCAGGCGTGATCTTGAACCGAGAATCGGCGAAGAGCTTCTCAAGATTCTTGATAGCGAAGTTGGAGACACCAATGTTCTTCACACGGCCAGATTCGGGCAGCTTCTGCATCTCAACCCAGGTGTCCTTGAAGTCCCAGTCGGGGTAGTGCTTCTTCAGGTCATCAGGGTCGGTTGAAGAGGGCCAGTGCTATCAGAGTGGTTAGCATGTTTGCCTATCAGGGACGGTAATTGCACAGGACTAAACATACCATAAGGTAGAGATCGACGTAATCGAGGCCAAGGCTACTTAGCGAGCTGTTGATGCCTTCTTCGACGCGCTTGTGCCATGGGTTGTCGAGCTTGGTGGTGACCCAGATCTCCTCACGGGGGACACCAGAGTCCTTGATACCCTGGCCGACTTCCTTCTCGTTGCCATATGCAAGCGCAGTGTCGATGTGACGGTAGCCGCCCTGGAGAGCAGCCTTGACAGCTTCGCGGACCTCACCAGGCTTTGATTGCCAGGTTCCGAGGCCAATAGCAGGAATCTTTGCGCCAGTGTTGAGCTGCGACCGATTAACTTCTGTTCGGCTGCCATTGGCTCATGCATAGTAATAGTTTGAATGATTTCGGTCCCTCAAACCAATTGTAGGGCAATTGTGATGTCTTGAGAAGACACATTCTCTGGTATGGCTGATGTGGGGGGTTACAGATGCACTTACCGTAAAGTTCTCCTTTGTCCAGTTCTTGGGTGCCATTCTTGCTAGAGTGCGGAGCATAAGATTGGGAAATGTAAAGTTTGTAGTGTAGGAGGAATGGGAATTGAAAGAAAGTGAAATCTTTTGAATGGCGGCGCAAGTGGAGGGGCAACGCGTCGTGCAACACCCCTCCTACGTCAGTCTCAACATTCATCCACCTTGTGGGGGCATGTCCTGAGCACAAATAGGCACCGGCATAAATGCTCCACGTATCAGAAGCTGACTTGTCCGCGGATGAAGGAAAACTGGTGGGGAACCACTCGTTGGCGCTAGTGTGAATGCGGTATCCTTTCCAGCCTCGCTGTCCCGACACCAAATCTGTGGGTTTGAGGAACCACTACGCCGCTCTCAACAACCTGCGCTAACCATATGCGTGTGGATCGGAATGTCTTCAGGGTTCGTCAGTGGTGGCAATGCCGGGGAGGAAGTGCAACGCGACGATGAGTGGAAAAGAGCGCAGCAGGAGATTGAAGACGCCAGACGTGTCAAAGCCGAGCTAGCAAAGCAGCACGACGGCAAGAGTCTGTACGAAGTCTTGCAGGCCAACAAAGACAAGAAGCAAGCCGAGTTTGAGGAAAAAGCACGCTACAAGCTCCATGTCGCCCTTGACGACGAGGAAGCCGACTACCTGGACTCAATTCTTGAGAAGAAGCGCCTGGAAGAAGCCAACGTCAAGAAAGAAACTACTGAGCAGCTGGATCTATTCCGAAGGCAGCGTGAAGCGGCAGAGAGAAAGGCGCGTGGACTTGAAGAGGAGAGTGCAGAGCCGACACAGGAGCATGGTGCCGAACAGTGGGCAGCTGCTGGCAAGAAGAGGAAGAAAGGACCTGAAGCCGGACTCCTCAAGGGCGTGAAGCTGAGGAAATCAAGTTCCATCCCAGAGGAGCAGAAGCCTGTTGAAAAATTACAGTCGACGGCCGAGACAACTCAGCAAAAAACGATGAACATTCCTTCCCAGGCGAATGCTAACGCCAATACGACAAGTTCTGCAAAACCACCTGTCGCCAATGTACAGTCCTCAACAAATGCATCTGCGTCCAAGACAGGAAACACACTTTCACTTGGATTAGGCTACACCTCTTCTGATGATGAGGACTAATTCCTCTGTCGGCTGTGCTCTAAGTTTGAGCTTCTGATGTTAGCGGGATTAAGAGCTCATTCCAACCGTTCTATATATAGTTGCTACGTTTCTGATGCCGCCCTTTTGAGAACTATGTATCTGATAATGGAGAATCAAGCCAAGAAGAGAATGTGGCTGTCAGGAAGAACTCATATCACACGCCAACGCCCTCTGAATGCCAGATCGGGATTGATAAGAATGTATTCAAGTTAAAATGCAGTTGGTTTACGCAAAGGCAGCTAGATGGGTAATAGCCCGGCTAAAGTGTGTGCTTCGTGCGTATTTCCATGACGCTGATGCGGCTCATGGAAGCAATTTCCAGGAACGAATGTTTCTCTCGTGTACTTATCATTAGACTCTGGTAGATCTACTTGGTATCTGGAAAATTCACAACAATCAGGCACTACAATTGTGTTGATTTTGCTATCAATGTGAAAAGGGCTGGCGGCGTGTTGGTTCCAGGACTCCCTGCCGCAGGTCTTTTGGACAAAACAGCTAAAAGCATCCTACCATTCATGATGGTTCAGCTTCCCATTTGAAAGTATATTTTCCATTCATCTCTTCCAAATTGGTGTTGCAAGAAACAATTCCTCCGTCCAGCCAAGACGCTTTGGCCATGATGTCACGACAGAAACGGTCTTGGCCGCGCTTACTATCTAACACTAGCAGTAGTAGTAGTACGTATCTATTCGCAGCGATCTGGTGCAACAACAGCCAACTACCATCTCAACTCGTCACTAGCCATCTAACCAAAACCCCTACCCGATTTTAAACTGCCGAGTTAGAGTACAGCTATGAGAAATGACACTGTGATCACTTCTCCACCTTGAACCACCAAAACCGCGTCCGCGACGCGTAACATTGCAACAAACATGGCGCACCAATCTAGGTCGGACGAGAACTCGCCTCTCCTTGGCGATAATAGTAGGACGTTTGTCACTCCAGACCAAGGAGCCTCACAGGAAGAGCCCGAAACAATGAACATGCGGTTGATCTTCAAGATCGCAGCGGCAATGTACTCGTTCGCCACACTCGGGCTGTTCAACTCATCCATTGGTGCTGTTCTCCCTTTGCTGTCGCAACACTACAACCTTAGCGACATCCAAGTATCTTCTATATTTCTGGCTGGGCCCATTGGATACGTACTTGCCGCGCAGTTCAGTGATGCCGTACACTACCGGTTTGGTCAGCGGGGTATCGCTTTTGTGGGTCCCATCCTGCAAGTCCTTGCTACTGCGACTGTAGCAGTGCATCCAGGATTCGGACTGATACTGGTAGCCTTTGCGTTTCAAGGACTAGGGACTGGGCTGCTAGATGGGAGCTGGTGCGCATGGGCGGGGAGCATGAAGAAGGCGAATACGATTTCCGGGCTGTTGCATGGGAGTTATTCTGTTGGTGGGGCACTTGGCCCTTTGCTCTTGACTATGTTGACTGCGAAGCATCAGCATTGGTGGACTTGGTATTCAATTCTAGTAAGTGCACCACGAGAGTTTTATGGTAAAGTACATACTAACTGGGTGAAGGCTGAGGCATGCGCATTATCATTCATAGTCCAGGTCGCTGCTTTCCGACACGAGAGCGCATCTGTCTACCGCCAGAGCAAGCAGTCAAAGATGTCTGATTCCAAGGTTGACCTTAGGGAAATCTTCAAGCACCCAGCTACCTGGCTCTGCGCAGCCTTTTTTCTCACCTATGTTGGCGTGGAAACTTCCATCTCTGGGTGGGTGGTTTCATTTATGCTCCGCGAGCGACATGCGAGTGACTATATAGCTGGTCTCTCTTCCTCGGGCTACTGGATCGGTATGGCTATTGGACGGTTAGTCCTGGGTTTCGCCACGGATAGGATGGGCGTACGGCGTGCGACCGTCCTTTACTTCCTCTTTGCTATCATTTTCGAAGCTCTGTTCGCAGCTTTCTCATCTCTGGAGGCCTCCGTAATTTTCATGACGGCAACTGGCTTCGTCCACGGTCCGTTGTTTCCCTCTGGAGTTGTAGTGTTGACGCGACTGTTGCCGGCAGAACTACATGTCGCAGCTGTCTCATTTGTTGCATCTCTGGGTCAAATTGGAGGCGCGTTTTTGCCCTTTGCCATTGGTGCTGTGGTGCAAGGTCTGGGTATTGGAGTTTTTCGATTCGCAATTCTCGTTGAGACATTGCTGGCATTGTTGGTATGGCTTGCCTTTGCGAGACTTCGTCCGGCGCTCCTTCCCATATCTGCGGCACATACCCAGGACTGAATGTAGACTATTCTGCATCAAGTGGCATGATATCAGCTGTGGTTACGCACCTCCAAAAGTCAGTGGTCCAATTTAACCAGCTCATTAAATATAAGTGATTGCATATTTCGGAGTATCATCCTCAGCTAAATTTCGCAAGAGTCCAGACGGAAGGGACATTGTAATTTAAACTTCAAAGTGATGTACGTAAGACAGAGGTCTCTATTGACAAAGAGTATGTGCTACTACACTGCATGTATACACGAAAAGGCAAGTTATTCCTTCGTTATTCAAATCTTACAAGGACCAATCTCGAGTCTGCTTTTTTGTGGCTGTCCCTCTGTATCTATCGCAACTTGATTTACATGGTTCCTCGTAATTTCATAGTCCCAAAAAAAGGTCAGACATGTAATTGTCAAAATCTGTTAAAGTACCCAATTTCGTACACGAACATATCTTTCTCGAATAGGAAATAGCTCCGTTTATCATGAGATGCAGATATACTAGCAAAACGCCTATTGTACCATAAGAAAATTTGCAATATATTCAGCGCCTAACCAACCCAATTTTTCATGGAAATAAAAGCTCATGTATAGGAGCCTACGCTTCAATTTTGTGGTCAAGGTATTCTACACATGCTCTGAATATGCCGAGCTCAGGCTAGCGCACATTATCCCGAGGGTGGGCGGATTGGCTCAAACCGTACGCTCTGCCGCCATCTCGGCACATATATTAAGCAGGTTACGAGCCACCCAGTCGAACAAAACAATTAAGTACATCCACTTAGAGTCGCTTTGCCAAGAAAAAAAGAAGAAGAAAGACTCTCACTCGCTCATGGTCTGAGAGACGCAAAGAAAGCTTTCAAAATGCATATCTTTGCTGTCGTCACTACATTACTCCTCGCTGCACCATCGGCGGCGGAAAAGCCATCAAGCGGTGCAAACGCAGCTTGCTCCCGTCTGAAACATCGGTTTCCTGACTACACTTTTCTTCCCGGGGCGCAAGGATACACATATGAGACACAAGAACGTATGTACCCTTATTTTTTTTTAATTCTTTTAGAAAAAAATATATAATGGGATGTCTTTACTAACGCGATATATACACATAGCATATTGGTCAGCAACCGTGTACAGCACACCAGCGTGTGTTTTTGTGCCTCAGAATGCCGAGCAAGTCTCATACGCGGTCGTTACTATTACGCTCACGCAATCGAAGTTGTCGGTGCGTGGGGGCGGTCACATGCCGATTCCCGGGTCTAATGGGATAGGTGGCGAGGGTGTGTTGGTGTCGTCGTCCAATATGACGAGATTGGCTCTGTCTAGTGATCAATCTGTTTTATCTGTTGGTCCTGGGAATCGGTGGAGAGATGTATATGCGTATCTCAAGCCGTTTGGGCTTGCGGCTGTTGGGGGCCGCGTGGGCCATGTTGGGGTGCCTGGGTTGTTGCTTGGAGGAGGTATATCGTTCTTTTCCTCCGAGTATGGCTTTGCCTCGGACAACGTGGTTAAATATCAAGTAGGTGCTTACCATTCCATTTTTCTTTCAATATTGCTAACAGGAACAAGTGTGTTCTTGCCAGCGGCCTGGTCATCGAAGCAACAGCGACAAATGCCTACTCGGATATCTTCTGGGCCTTACGCGGCGGCGGCAACTCCTTCTGCATTGTCACGAGATTCGATCTGCGCCCCGTAAAAGGCAGTCATGTCCACGTCGGTATCGCACAGTTCAGCCAATCTCAAGCCAAAGGCTATCTGGACGGCGTATATAGTTTTGGGAAATACGGCGGGCCTTCTGATGCCAAAGCAGCCATTATTCCGACAATTGTCACTTTGCCAGCCGCAAACCTAACTGTGTATGCGGCTGCAAAGTTTTACAATTCTCAGACGGATAACCCAAGGGTATTTGAGAATTTCACCGCGCCCAAGCTTGTTCCTATTGCAGATTCATACACGCTGCAGCCGCTGTCAGACTACATTGCGGTAACAGATGCGTTGCAACCTCTCGGGTTACGCCAGGTATTTAGAACCCTGTCTGCGGTTGTCGACCGAGATGCCGTTCAGATCATACATGACACGTTCAATTCTCTGGTGTACTCGGACTTGGCCAGAATTCCTAACCTTCAGGCTTCCATCACGTTTCAACCCATTACAAAGGACTTCCTCTCGCATAGTGCTAAGAGCGGAGGGAATCCCCAGGGAATCGATGTCGACAATGCGCCGTACTTTTGGGTAGTCGAGAATTTTACATGGGGCGCTGCCGAAGACGATGACACTGTACATGTGGCAGCGGACAAGATTACAGCAAATATCAACAGCCTTCTCCGCAACAAATCGCTAGCAGCGCGATACTTGTACATGAATGATGCAGGGAAGGGCCAGCCAGTATTTGAAAGCTATCCCGCTGCCAATTTGTTGAAGCTGCAGTCAATTCGCACAAAGTATGACCCGCTGAGGATTTACACCGATTTGATGCCTGGTGGATGGAAAGTGGCCAATACAAATATTGGATAGAAGCTTTACTACTAGATGTCCTGTCCGATGTGTATATACAGTAATATGATTCATTCGTAGTTATTTCTAATTAAAAACTATTTTGGCACTAAGCGGCTTTGACCTGTGATATGGTAATGAAGCTTTTGCATATTTCTGTAAAGTCATAAGTAAACAACCCAATCAGATTGCATGATTCCAGCTGACACAATCTCATCAATTCTCTCAACGATCCTTATCTTCGTCTTTTCCAGGCCAAACAATATCCCCCTTCCACACCGCCCTCACACACGCCGCAGCCGCAACAATCCAAACCACAACCAACAAAGCCGTCATAACACTTCCCACCCAGAGAATCGGCTCGCTCTCGAGCTCCCTCCCCAATGCACTCGTCGCAAGCGCAAACCCGACATTCGGAAAAATAAACGCCCACCAAGCCAGACTAAACGGCATCTTCCCCACTGCACTCAAATTCGCAACCAGCGCAACACTAAACAGCCAAACTGCAAACACATAGACAAACACCGACGAGAAAAACGCCATGATGCGTAGAATCTCTGGCGCTAAGCTGTGTCTCGCAAAGTAACCCTCCGTATACGCCTGCTGTGCCCCAATTCCCCTCGCCATACCCACTAGGGCAACAACCGTATACGCACAACTCCCCACAGGGATAAACATCGCCGGCCTCGCCCTCAGCGGGGGAAGTCCGCGCTCGAGAAGCGAGGAGATGTACAAGGCGATACCCACGAGACTAATACACCACCCGAACCCCTGATACGCCACACCTGCCACCACAATAGCGACATGACGCCGTGCCGGCTGACTCGCTACGATCAAAGAAGCCAGTGTACCAGTTAGCATACAGGAGTACCCTGCGAGGAAAACCGCCGGTGAGAATGGTACAGTGGTGTTTTTGCGGAGGATAAGCCAGTACTGCAACGTCGTTCCCACCAGCGAGATAGCGGCGTAGATCCAGTACAGGATGTGGACGAGGGAGAGGAGGCCAGGGGTGCTCGGGCCGTGGGTTATGGCAAGTGTTTGCACGCCGGCGATGAGAACGCAGATGCTTAGGATGAAGGCGGGGGCAAAGAGGGATTCTGGGGGGGAGGAGAAGGCGGAGAGGAAGTGGTTTTTGTGTTGGATGTAGCGGAAAAGGGTCAGCAGGGTGAAGAGGAGGAAGATGGTGAGGGTTGTGAGGAAGAGGGTGAGGGAGATGTGGTATTGGCCTTTTTGGGGAGGAGGGGGGGAGGTGTTAGTGGCTTTTCTCTTTTTCGGTTTCTTTATATGGGATTGTAGGATGGGAGTGATGTACTCACCTTTGAATTGATGTGGTGTCTCTCCAATAGCGACTGCAAGACCCCCTGTGCTCATTGTGCATAGGAACCAAGCGAATGTGAAATGTTTTACTCTCTGGCGTAGACCTGGCTTTCTTTTTTCGGGCTCCCATTGCTCCTGTGTGATTGTTTCGGGTTTCGGTGTTGATGGCATTGCGATGTCGGCGCTTGTGGACGACGACATGGTCGAGCTGGGTATCGAGATTGATGGGTGAAGAACAAGAGCAAAATGGAAGTGAACGTGCCAAGTATAGTTTTTTTAGGCCCCCGAGATTTCTTCTGAAAACATGATCAATGTAATGCAAACAATCTTGTGCGTTAAGGATGTCAGCACGAATTGAGGTTTCGACAATTACTAGCGGGATCTCGTAGTCCTGGGTACGGTACTATTAAGATAAATCCTAGCTAATTAGCTCAAATCACAGCAGATACCTCCAGAGAATCCAAGAACCTTGCGTATGCGTACCTGTTTTTAGTGCATGTAAGTAACAAATAGCGGGATGGCATGAAGTCTGGGGAAGCCCCTGGCTGCCCATGGGCCGTAAATATCTTATCCCCGGTGGTGCTACTACCTTGGATATTCCCGGTGCCTATACGCCACTCCTCACAGCCGGTAAAGTGAAATCCCTGTCAAAAATATACTACTATCTCATTGACGACACTAACAAACAAGATAGGAAATAGACGAACATTTTCTGAAATTCTAAAAGCTAACTCATGATGGAATAATTCATGCAACTTGCTGAATTTTGTCCTTTGCAAGATCCTTTGTCTGTCTAGCCCTCCATTTGATGTCACCGGGCTGTGGCCACCGATAATTCACCGGCGACTCACCGCCCACAAAAACACACGTATCATACAACAAACCACCGCACAGTGCGCCACTAATAGATGCACCCCAGCAGCCATATGCCCAGTACCCAGAAGAAAAAGCATCTTTGTATCCGACCCAGTATGCCACGAGACGAGGCCCAAGGTCGCGCGCCGGTGAAATACCCAAGCCAGTGTTGTATCCGAGACCAATCATAGTTACCATTCCGGTGAGACCAACAATGAAGGCAGTCATTCCTTGGCCTGGAGGAGAGTTTTGGTCGTCTCCTAGGGCGAAAACGACACATACGAAGATGGCCATGTAGACGAAATCGTTGAAGAAGCCAGTCGTAGTAGAGTAAATAGGTCCTTTAGGGAACAGAGCCTTGCCCGTCATATCGAGAGTCAGGCCGGGATCTACTTCGTGGATGGCGTCATGGTAGACTCTATTGTACATATTAATTACAAGGCTAACCAATTTCAAAAAAGAACATTGTGGACTTACGCGTAAGCGACGGCTCCTGCAGCAAGGCCAGCTAATAGTTGCATGCATATGTAGACAATTGCCATCTTCCAGGGAAAACCACGAAACACCGATAGCGATATAGATACTGTTGGACTGAGGTGGGATCCACTGACTCCTCCACCCAGATAGATGCCTATCATAGCTGCGAATCCCCATCCCCAGGCTTGTGTCTCAAAGCTACCGGTACCCTGTTGAGAAGTGGCAACAGACAAGTTTACGCAAAGCCCAATCAAGAGGTACATGAACGTCTGTGAAGTGTCAGCAAAGCAAGTCTTTGTTTGACGAAAAGGTAGACATACTGCAAGAAACTCTGCCGGAGCTTGCGGGTACTTTGCTCGGAATCTAGCAATGGGGTTCCGATACTGGTTGTAAAAATCTCGCTCTTCCTCCTCCTCTCGTTGCTGGATTTCCTTTTCTTCCTCCTTGGTTTGACTAGTTTCGTTCGTGGCCCGTTCCTGCAGCGGCGGAAGACCGTCTTGGAGACCAAAGTGTTGGTGCTGTCCACTTTCATCGGCATATTCTAATCCGTGCTCATTGACTGGAGCACGCGTTTGGCCATCGTGATGCTCGTGGGTGTGAGAGTCTTGATTGTGATTCAAGCCAAGTACTTGGTTGGCTTCGCTTGTGGGTACGCGTTTTACGTTGACCCTGCGGCCATTGACTACAGTTTGGAATCTGTCTGGGTTTCCTTGGCTATTGGTGTTGCTTCCGGCGTTCAAAGTTTCCTGGGAATCCTCTGAATCTTCTTCCAAAACTGTATATGTGCTGGTTAGGATAGTTGTGGCATTCACAAAACAGTGAAAACTTACCTTTTCCATCCCCAAAGTCGAGGCCGTCCTGTCGTGAGATACCATCATCTTCGTCGATTTTGTACAAGGATTTACGCAAATCCCCTCGTCCCCACCACATGCCACGGCGAACCGTGCGTGGAAGAGGAGCACCTAACCCAAAGACTGGCTTCTGCTTCTGCTCATTATACCATGGGTTCAGGGTGAAGTAATCGTTGTCAACATCCACAACTTGCTGTTGCTTCTTCTCTGGGCGTCGAGTAGGCTCTTGTGTGACATTTCCGCGAGTCGCAGTGTTTGAGGGCGTATTTCTGATGCTGCCCATATGCGCTACGCTGGTTGCGGTAGTGTTGGTGCGAGCATTCTGCGGTCTCGACGTCAAACGAACAGTATCAGTTCTTCCTATGCTCGGTGCATCGGAACGGCCTCGATGGAGAGCTGTCGATGCAAGGGATCTCGTAGTCGGTTGTCTTGATTCATTTGCCAGATTGGTGGGTCTTTGGGATGCAGATTCCTCTGGTTGTTGTTGTGCTATTGAGAATCAGGATGTTAGTTGTCTGGGGAAAAAAAATAAAAGGATCTTGTCTTGATTGGAATAAAAGACATGGATGGATAATCGCTTACTATTTCCTGGTGAATTAGATTGTTGATGCGACATTGTGTAACTCAGATGCTATGCTGTGTTGCAAAGGTGATTACCGTCAGGTCGACCTTATATTCATATTGCGTTATGCCTAGGATTAACACAGATCATGGCGATATGACTAAATGGTAAATGGTGGTGCTGCTATTCATGCATGGGAAAGTAAAGAATTGCATGTGCTACGTCACCGGCAGGGAAGCTTTTTGCTTAGTCTGTCCATGTCGCCGGTATTTCCGAGGAATACCCACGGCTCAAAGATATGTGTGCCAATCATCTCGACTGATCTTCATAATGAGTGGGTAGACCCGAACAAGAGTCTCAATTCTCGATACATGTTGACTGATAGGGCAATCCTCATCTCGATCCTGAGGCGTTGCGGCTAGTTGTGGCGCTGTACAGATCACAAGTTGGACGGACATCGGCATAGTCAAGTGGAGCTTGTTGGCCTGCACTTGTCAGAGTGTGCACGCATGGGAAATCAATGATTTGGCGTGTCGCGTAATGTTCACACTGTGACAGGGGAGCGTGCATATACATGGGCAGCATACGAGCAAATGTATGCAAAACGCTATCGACATTTGACGTAGAGCATCAACACATGGCAATTGCCGGTCCTTGGCCAGCGTCTGCAAGCAAAGCCGACGATTGTGCATAACAACGGTACAGCAAATAGAGGCTCCACTTTGACTAGCGCGCCAGTGTGGAGACGCCGTCATAATTGCTTTACTTGGCCGATGGATAGTGCCCACGGAGACTGCTACATTCCCATGGATATAAGGGTACACTCAAAACCCATATGCTACAATACCAAGGCTCAATGGTCCCGTAGGATCCCATATCGGGGTATTACTATGCGCAACGAATAACTCCGACATTAACGCCACAGTGTGGCGCACTGGCCAAACTTGGGCTAGATGCAAGTGCTCTTCTGCTCAAGGTACTTTCCTCATGATACCGCCATCAACTTATTCTGTTCCTGCGCCAATGTGAGGCCCTCAGGTGCTTGTCGGAAGAGTACAATCTCGGACTGCTTAAAGTATCGTCGCGCATCTGGGCAATTGTCAGTGGAATGCGCTGGATAGGGGGCGGGAACAGCTCACCTTCATCAATAAGTACAAGACTGAGATAATATCTAGTCGAGTACTTCTTGTTGACTTCGCGGAAGGTGGGGGTCAGGTCGAAGCCGCCAAGGAACAACCTGATTGGAATTGTTTCACCTGCAGCGGGTGGTTAGTGGGATACTTGTCGCAAAGAGTCGCTTTCATATACCTCGCGAGGGCGAACCATCCATGATCTCGAAGCGGACCAGCGTCTCGCTTTCGTTGTACTGGTTCGGGGGCGCGCCCGTTGTTTCTCGCCGGATGATGGAAAGCTCCATGTGCTTGATCTTTAACCGGACGAGAAGGAAGTATATCCTGCCTACAATGACGTCTTTGAGATGGTATTTGGACTTTGAGTACTCAAACTCAATGTGCAAGCAATCCTCGATGCCAACGTCCATTTTGATGGAGCTGTTTGTCTCTGGGGGGATACGGTACGAGTAAACCCAGAGGTCCTTTTCGCGGACCACGTCGGCCATTCTGCGCGAGACGGTGACGCGGACAAAGTAGCGCAGCTTGACGTTGATGCCATTGTACGACTCGTACTGCTTCTCGACGTTCTTGAAGTTGAAGTCAAAGGTCTGGGGGTGCTGCAGCTCGCCGGGAGCGGCTAGCTCCTGGCCGAGGGAGAGGAACTCGTAGTGGTTTCCGCGGTCGAAGAACATTTCTGGGCGCACGACATCAGCAATGCACGGAGGAGTCTGGGACGGGCGAGGCACGTACCAATGGTGCCAATGAACTGGACCTTGATGCCGGTGTGCTCGAGGCGCTTGCCATCTTTGGGGCGGACGGTGACCTGGCCCTTGACCGACTCGCCATCGAGGTAGAGGGGGACCTTTTCCTTGCGGTTCTTGTCGAGCTTGACGTCGACGGCGGAGCGGTCGTCGAGGTCCTCGAGGACAATGTCGATGTCGACCGGGGTGGAGAAGAAGTAAGACATGGTTAGGAGTGCGTGGTCGCGTCGGCGGCCGACGGGGCTGAGAGCAAGGTGGACGTGTGGATGCGTGGTGCATGCTTTCGTCATACAGCGCTTGTCCGTGTTGGGGGCTGGTCACGTGTGCGGTGCCCCGCTTCCCCGTTGGGCACCCTGGCTACCAGGTGGCTACCTGTTGGCCACTGTACTTGGTACGGTGTTGGCTGGTGGCCGTTGGCTGTTCGCTGTCCGACATGACTTGTTGTCCGGGCCTCTGCTTGGTTTCCGTTTCCTGACAATGCCGGCAAACTCAATGGGTCCACGTCACGTCTCACTGCGTGGCGGGTTGCTCGGGTCAGAGGGCAGGTCCTCCACATTCCTACGCAAGGAAGTAGTGAGAAGTAGGGGGAGGCGGCTGGCCGGGAAGCGCGCGCGAAGTCAAATCAGGACTCGTTCGTATTCGCGCGCAAAAAAAAGAAAAGGTAACCAGATGCGATGGTCGTCTAGTCCTCAGCCTCGACCTGGCCGGGCCGATGGTGTCGAGAGGCCGCGCCGGACCCCCACGCGCCATTATCCAACCGCGTGGTGTGCACGAGTCAAGGCGGTGAGGGCGTATGTGGAGAGGGCGTTCCTGTGCCGTCGTCGGTATCTGGATGCTACGTGGAGTACTGCGTAGTACAGTGCACACTTGCTCATGGCGTATAGATCTAAGATTCGTGTGCTACACATCTGCTATGTATGTACATGCATTCATGCATGCAGAGAGAGAGAGAGAGAGAGAGAGAGAGAGAGAGAGAGAGAGAGGGACAGACGGCAGGCAGGCAGCCCGTAGTGCTCTAGTGGTACTCGCCTCCCCCAGCCAGACGCGGGGTGCTGCATGCTGTGTGACCTGGCTGTGACATATGTAGTAGGTAGATATGTAGGTAGGTAGAAGTCGAGGTCGTGGTAGTAGTGGTGGTGGGTAGGGCAGGGCAGCCGGTTCCTGAGAGATGGGATGGGCAGTGCGGGGGAAAAAGGCTTCAGGGAGGGATTCGGGCGCTAGGGCTCAGCATGACATCCATCATCCCACACGCGACAGTTGCATGTTCAAAGGCCGAAGCCCTCAACTCTCCAGTCTCCACGTCGGCTGCCCGGCTGTTGCACCCGTCTGGCCCTCGCACCGCCACTAGCTGTCCGGTTCGCGCCGCCATTCGCTGCCATGGTTGCACGCGTACCATCCGGCCTGGGCCTCCTGAAGCACAACGCCCGCCAGCCCATCCCACCCTTGCCGTCATGGCGCTGCGGGCGAAATTTCCAGATGAGCGTGCCCGAGTGCAGTGCGAGCCTTAAAATCCACTCTCCCCCAGCGCACATTGGGTGACTTTCCAGATTGCTGACCCTCTGCATCCAAACTAGTCGTTGTCGATACATGTGCGTTTGCAATATCGCATATTAATTCAGCCCAAGTCCCGTTTCCGGCTTCCTGCTTCGTGCTTCCTGGCTGCCCAACTCAAACACCACTTGCCTTTCTCACTCACTCACTCACTCACTCACAAACGCCCTCGACTGCACCCTACTTATATTCGCCCGCTCCCCGCCCGTTTCCCTCGTGTCGCCCCAACGCCATGATGCAAACCATGGAGCAATCAGTCCCCGCCCCCATACAATATGTCTCGCCGCCCACGCCTCCCGCCTCAAATACCGGCTCGCCATCCACATCATCGCCCGCCCTCGCCGACACAAAGACTGCTCAAATGACCATCCCCGCCCACCACCACATCCTCATTGTCACCGGCCCTGCAGGCTGCGGCAAGAGCACCATTGCCAAGCATCTGTCGGATCGATATGGCTTCGACTACATTGAGGGTGATGAGGTAAGTCGCCTTGCCCAATCCCGCCTAGCGCCTGCTAATCGCCCCACAGTTCCACCCAAAAGCAAACATTGACAAGATGGCCGCCGGCATTCCCCTCAACGACGAAGATCGCTGGGATTGGCTCATCCTGCTGCGCGACCAGGCCCTCACCGCTCTCCACAACGGCTCGCGTGGCGTCGTCGTTACCTGCAGCGCGCTCAAGAAAAAGTACCGCGACGTCATCCGCACCGCCAGGTTGTACGACCAAGACCCAAATGCCAACGTCCACTTTGTCTACCTCCGCTCCGACATGGAGACGCTGCTCTCGCGCGTCCGTGCCAGGCAAGGCCACTACATGAAGGACGCCATGGTCGCCAGCCAGTTTGCAGCCCTCGAGGAGCCCGACGAGACCGAATGCAAGCAACTCAAGGACGTTGAGATCATCGACGTCAAGGGAGGCATCCAGGACGTTCAGCAACTAGCCAGTGCTGCTGTTGACAGAATTCTGGCACAATAGCATTCTGCCCGCAAAGTCAGCCGGCTCTGATGATGTGTAAAACAAAAAAAGTTTCTTTTTTTCTCAACTTCTTATTCTTCTCACCTGGCATCGGCATCAACTCGGTTGCCCAGCAGCGTAGCGAGGGGTTCTTGGTGTCTTCATTTCTTGGGTAAAGGCGTAACAGTTTTAATTATACCCTTATGACATGGGCTGGTAACACTGCATATGCGGAACTTTTTCGAGTCCAGACGCAATACACATTCATACATACATACATTTACAATAACACTAGTTATTCATCATTTTAGCCATGAGCCTCACACGTGCATTAGTCGTACCAACTCCACTACCGACATGCAACTGATTCATGACTACAGTCCTCATGGCCAGACATGAATCTCGTCCATCTGCACACACAATTGCCACGACAAACTGCCGCAGCTAAACCGGAAAGGAGAAAGAACAAACTTGTCGGAACAAACTCGTCCGTCCACGGCCGGAAAGAGCTAATCCAGACTGTTTTCATTCTGTTCCCCCACATGCCCCGATAGACAAGGAAACACTGATCAACAGAGACGGGGAATTGCACTGGGCTAGTCTTATCGGGATCTTACTTTACCATTACCTTTAGGCGGTCCATCCCACGTGCGTGTTCAACCCTCCGCATTACTACCTATTTTTAGTCTCTTGCCTGTTTTGGCGGTAGTGGCTTGGCGGCCCCGGTAACTGCTTATCGGGGTTAAACTACCGTATAGAATTGGTGTCCTACCGTCTTTGTTTTCGTACATCTCATGTCGTAGTATACAATGTCTCGACGTCCTTGGGTGAGTTGATAAGTAGATGGGGGGAAGAAAGACTAGTAATTGCGGGATGGAGCACGAGATTGTTGTTTCTTGGTTGCCTAAAGCAAAGGTTTCTTAGGCGTCCTGCCAGAGTGGCTTTGCTGGCACCGCGTCACAGTAGCCCTTGGAGTACACAAAGGCTGAGCATGGTACACGGTGCGAGTTTTGGACCCAGGGGGGAAAAATCAAAATTAGAGGGCGGAGGGCGGGAGGATGGGCGCAGCAAAGGTGCTTGGCTGTCATGGAGGAAAGGAATGAAATAAAGCAAGGGCGCTATGCAAGTGCTGTTTTGCTCATTGCAACAACAACATTACACCTTGGTCTCTTCTCTTCTCCTTTGCCTATTCTCAAGCACATCGCTGGCTTCTACGCGACGTAAGCAGTGTAGTGTATACCATAGCTTCCCAACGCCATGGCCTCAGCATCTTCAACACTGATATCGGTCTCCCGCTCCGCTGAACTCACAACAACGGCACCTGCGACAAGCATGACCGGTTCGCCTGTTACTCAACCTTCCTCTACACCTGAATATGACAACGGTGTTTCGGCAGTCCCGACACAAGTCGTTGTTGGCATTGCGGTTAGTGCGGTTGCAGGGCTGGCAGTGCTAGTAGCCGTTATTATATTTTTTGTGAGGAGGGCTGCAACGAAGACGCGGAAGGGGAGGGTTATGCGGGTTGAGGTGGGAAAGATGGTGGATGATGTGGACGATGAATCTGTTCTATCTGGTTGTGGGAAGGAGGTGGGGAGATGAGGAGGAAGGAGGTGCGAGAATATTTGAGTATCATTTATAACAAGTGTGAAGGGAGGAAGACGCTGTTAAGAAAGCACTCTGAGGTTATAACATGCGAAGTACGCATGAGTTTAAGAAATTTATAATTTGTAATTGTCTCCGTAATCAATCACTCAAACGGTGCTGGTTTTTCTGTTGCACGACCATGCAATTGAAATGATTGTTGCCGGAAATTTTGAAAATAGTAGTTGATTTGAGGTTGTATGTAAATCAATTACATCTGCACGATCCACAGACCGAACAGCTACATGAGGGAAATGACGCCGCGATTTTCATTAGTAAGCGTGGCGACGGCAAAGGGCTGCAATACGACTTGTCTGGACCCTACCCGACGCCATGTTGACGCTAATGACTCTGCGTTGACCTTTTTTTTCCCAGTGGTTGTAAAGTGGAGCAGAAGGACGCGAAGAGCACTCTCGAACCGCCACGGAACCTGCTTTGCGGAGAAGCAAGAAAATTTGAACAAAAGTTGTAAACGGGCTCAACACTCGACTAGTTCGAATCTAGCGCAGAAGAGAGAGAAAAGGGCCAGGCATTGGTCTTGCAGCAAAGCAATGACAATTGCAGACGTGAACATGACATGATTTTCTTGTCATGACGACTGTGAGGATGTATGAACTGATACATACACAGGTGTACTTGGATGTACATGGATACTTACGTATGTAAGTACACCATAGCCGGCCCAAATGGATAAAGTACAGTATACATGCAGAGTGGAGGCGGATGTAACGGCTTGTCTCCCCCGGCGCGCTCCGCCGTAGTGCATGCATTCATGCAAACTTAGACGAACTGAATCATGTGACTGTTCCATGGTTCAGAGTCTTGTCAAGCTGCCATGTCGGTTGACGACATATTGCGAGCAGGCGGGGTATAGAAGCGTATGGATGGATGGATGGATGGATGCAAGGAAAACGACGTCGACAAATGGCGTATCCTATCTTATCCTATCCTATCCTATCCTATCCCATGTCTGTAGCGACATTGGCAGCACCAGGGCAGGGGTTCACTAGCGGCGGATGACGTACCGGCAGCCGTTGCAAGGTTGCTCGACCCACGCTGTTCCGCCAAAATTTTATGCCATTGCACCCGCCCCTCTCCAAGTAAGCTCAATTCCTGGCTAACCCATGCCATCCTTGCTTATCTTGCGGCCCGTCACCATGATACCTGACTGGATCCGCGAAACCACGGTACGCAGAAGCCAGAGTCGCGTGCCATCTCCAGGCGATTGCGAGACAGTTGCTGCTGCCATTATCCATCCACCATCCGCCCTGCCCTAATAACCGCTCACAGCACCTGCCCGCCCATTGATTTACCCACCTGGACCGCGTCCCCTCCGTAAATCTTGAAGTCTGTCTTCTCCACTCAAACTTTCCTGGCTCGGGACATGGCTTGTTGACTTCTGACCCGACCGTCATTTCTTCTCCTTTGACTTGGGCGCAATGCCTTCTCGTCTCTTTGCCCGCGACGCGCCCGCCGCCGAGCAGCAACCCCAGCTGCCTTTTACTGGCGACAACACAGACGACGCCGACTTTGCATACGACCAAGCGCACGCCGAGAATGGCGGCCACAGTCTTCCACGCCGGATACGCGGCCAGTCCATTGCCTCTGGTGCCCTCTCTGGCTCGTACACGCGCAATCCCATCCGCTCCTTTGCCCACCAGACGTCACACGGCTTTGCTGGTCCGTATCCGAGACCCTGTGTCATCCATTGCCAGCACTCACTGACTGCCTTGCAGATACCCCACACTACTCGTCCCAGGGCGTGCGCGAGAGAAGCTCCCAACTAGCTTCGTATGCCCTCGAGGCCGAAAACTACCAGGACCGACCGCACCGTGGCAGCTTTGCCGACCCCGACGCGTATGCCACGAGGCCGGGCGCTATCCCCTCAGACAGCGAGGATGGGCGCATGTCGCAAGACTCTGGCCGCTGGACCGACGCCATTGATCAGGAAAGCGACGCCGAAACCCCCGAGACGGTCATTGGCCCTCAGTACCAAGATCGTAACTTTTTCAGCCCAAAGTCGCAGGCCAACACCGCCCAGCACAACAAAAACGTAACCCCGAGTGTAGTCGTCGAAGACACGGAGCGAACTCCTCTGCTTCCCCAAGGCAGACTGTCGCGCTCAGGCCCTCAGCAAAAGCATAAATCTATACCGCGTGATTCGTGGGGGTCACGACCCAAATCGAACTTACCTCGTCGTCTCACACACACCCTCGAGGTCGGTCGCGAACATGTGCTGGGTATTGGCAGATCGCTGTCTAACCCCAACAACTACACCAAGGATGCTCTCTTTTCACATGCCCTTGAAGGTATCCAGATCACATCAGCCGTCTTCCTCGGTCTGCTGCTGAATCTCCTCGATGCGTTGTCTTATGGCTACATTCTGTTCCCACTCGGTGCGCCCATTTTCAGCAACACGGGGCCAGATGGCATCTCCATTTTCTTTGTCAGCTGCATCGTGTCACAGTTGTGCTACTCTCTAGGACTGTCTGTGTTCAAGGGTGGTGTCGGATCTGAGATGATTGAGGTTGTGCCCTTTTTCCATAAAATGGCATATTCCATCATGGAACAGATGGAAGGTAAGCCCCCGGAGGCAATCATAGCCACCACCATTGTCTCCTACTGCCTCAGCTCCATCTTGACTGGTCTCATCTTTCTTGCTCTCGGTGTCTTTAAGCTCGGCAACCTAGTCAGCTTCTTCCCAAGACACATTCTTATCGGCTGCATTGGTGGAGTGGGCTTCTTCCTCATTGTGACTGGTATTGAAGTGTCAGCTCGTCTCGAAGGCAACCTCAATTATGATCTCGAGACCCTCCACAAGCTCTTTTCCTCCGATACTTGGTACCTCTGGACGCTGCCACTTGCCCTTGCCATTTTAATCATGGTACTGCGGCGGCTATCCAAAAGCCCGTTCGTCCTGCCTGCTTTCTTCGTCTCTGTATTCGCCATCTTCTACCTTGTTGTCAAGGGTATCCTTCACAAGGACCTGGAGCCTGTGCGTAATGCGGGCTGGATATTTGAGCTACCAGAAGCTGGTGTCCAGTTTTACAGATTCTACACCTACTTTAGTAAGTGCCTCGCTGGACTTTCAGTAATAGGGTGCTAACAAACCAACAGAGTTTGGCAGTGTAGACGCATCAGCCCTTGTTAGCACCATTCCTACCATGTTTGCTCTATCCTTTTTCGGTATCATTCATGTACCTATCAATGTCCCTGCTCTAGGTGCAGCTGTGAGGGAGGATAATCTCGATGTGAACCGGGAGTTGATCGCTCACGGCATCTCCAACACCCTCTCTGGGTGCTTGGGCAGCATTCAGGTATGGACAGCCCCACGCGTGTTTCGTGGCATCACTAACGTTTATAGAACTATCTCGTCTACGCAAACAGTGTCATGTTCGTCGATAACGGCGGTAACAGCCGCACAGCTGGTGTCATGCTCGCATTTGCCACGACTGCTGTCTGGCTAGCCGGTCCAGCCATGGTTGGCTATATCCCAATCTGCCTAGTTGGTGCACTCATTTTCCTACTAGGTATTGATCTTATAAAAGAAGCTCTTTGGGACACCTTTGGCAAATGCCACAAGCTCGAATACTTGACCATCCTGGTCATTGTCCTCATCATGGGTATCCACGACTTTGTGGTTGGAATCTTTGTCGGCATCGTCCTTGCATGCGTTAGCTACGTTGTGCAAAGCTCGCGTCATTCCGCCATCCGCGCATCCTACAGCGGCATGATTGCCGAGTCTACAGTTCGCCGTCCAAGATCGGATTCGCGATACCTCAATAAAGTTCGAGGGCAGATTCGCGCCATTAAACTTGGCGGATTCCTGTTTTTCGGTACGATTGTATCGGTCGAGGAGTATATGCGCTCCTTGATTGACGACGATAACTTTGAGAGGAACCCAATCAGCTTCATCATTGTCGACTTTACCCATGTTACGGATGTCGACTTTTCCAGTTCCGAAGGTTTCCAGCGTATCAACCGTATCTTGAACATCAAGAATGTCAAGATGATCATCTCTGGAATCTCATTTTCTGATCCCGTTGGACGTGCTCTGCAGAACGTAGGGCTGTTGGACGGAGAAGGGGATGAAGACTGCCCGCCACCCCAGATTTTCGAAGATCTTAACACGGCACTAGAATCATGCGAAAACGAACTCCTCGAAGTGTTTCACAGACATTGCAACAGACGCCCATCGAAGCAACAGTCGACACCACCTATGAGCATCTCGGGGGCCAAGGATATTTCTACTCCCGAGCCTAGCTCACCCACTTCATTTGGCGCCAGCTCCCTCAACCCTGTATTCTCGTCACCTCGACGAGGTGCTCGACTCATTGCCGCTCGCTCAACCATGCGCGAGAGTGGCGACGACACCTTCCCCATAGCCGACAACGCCTCACAATGCACGACAACCGTGGTGCCGCCACGCTGGCGAAACTTTGCACAACCACTCAAGATTATCCTCCAAACTTTTGAGGACGTGTCGACCAAGAATGAAGACTTTTGGCAAGCCGTCGCGCCCTACTTTGAGCGTAAAGAGTATCCCGCGGGTACAGTACTGTACTCACGTGGCGACGATCCAGACGGATTCTACATTCTCGAAAAGGGCCGCCTGCGAACAGAGTACGAGCTTGACCAAGGCAGCTTCTTCGAAGTCATCCTACCCGGTACCACTTGTGGCGAACTTCCCTTTTTCTCCGAGACGGACCGCACGGGTACTGTAGCGGCGGAGAACGACTCGGTTGCGTGGTTGCTCACAAGGGAAAAGTACAAGGAGCTGGAGAAGAAGGATCAAGAGGTGGCGACCGAGTTGTTGAAGGTGGGGCTGAAACTGACAAAGGAGCGTATGGACGCTATTACGAGTTATGTACTTGTGACTGCGTCGTAGGCGCTTGCGTTTTGTCGAAGTATTAGGAGTGGAATGGGGGTTTTATATTTAACTAAACTTTTATTGTTTGATGGATTAAACACAGAAAATATTTTATTCGTTTAGCATGGCGTGTGGTTGTTAATATGATTTTATTAAATGGTTCTTAAAATGAGACGCTATAATTTCTATCGCTACTTTCTTGCATCATTGGTAGTCAAAATTTTGGAAAAAAAAGTTTTCCAGCAATTCATACCTACGTAAAAAATGAAAAGTTTTCTTAGCCATCATGAACTTCGCAAAGGAAAAAAAAGATAATAATCGAACGCTTTACTAGCTGCTCTCGGTTTCCTGTTACATTGTTAGTTACGTGATTCGAACTTCAGATGAAGAAGACCAAACTTACGATCCGAGGTCCTCCGGGTTATGAGCCCGGCGCGCTTCCGCTGCGCCAAGCAGCTTTTTTTGTAAATGCTGAGTAAGCTTTGATGTCGTTTTCATGAATTTGAATGTCTATATTATCATAACATTGGGAAAGACATCGGATGAGAGTGTTGCAGGTACAAATGTGGGGCGCTGGTATTTTTGAGGCAAGATTTTGCGTGGTGTGTGGGAAGGTGGGGGGGGGAAGGGGGGAAGGGTGATTCAACGAATTATGACGTGAATTGTGGGGTAGGGTATATGGGAGATTGCGAACTAATGAGGATAGATTGGTTGACTTGAGAGAGAGACCAACATAGGATGAGTGAAATGGTAATCAAAAAGAAAAGAAGGGGGAATCATTTAACAGGAAGATTTAATCGCTCTCAACTTCCATCTCAAGAGAAATACATGCAAAAAGAAAAAGAAAAAGAGAGCTCCCTTGAAATTAAAGAGTAAAAGAAAAAAAGACAGTTAATGTACGGATTCAACAACCTGCATACTCTTGATAGCGCGCTAGACAGATAAGAAGACGAAAAAAAACGCACACAGAACAATCCCACATTCCTTCAAACCCCCTTAGCCTCACACAAATGCCCATTCTTACTCAACGTCGTCCCCAACCCCTTGTGCACCTCAACCTGGAACCCCTCAAAGGGCACTCTCTCCCCATCAATACTAATATACCCATCCTTCTGATCCCGCGGGATAATCCGATACGCGCTGACTTTCTGGTAATCAACATGGTCGAGGTCGAAAAAGGTGTGGTTTTCAACCGAGAGGAGGGTTTTGATAGCTGTGACGCGGGGCAAGTCGCCGCGGATGCGGACGAGGTCGAGGCAGCCGTCGCAGGGGAGGGCGCCGGGGAAGAAGTTTGCGTCGGCGGACATGTAGGCAATGTTTCCGGCATAGAAGTTGCCGATTTTGTCGTGGGGGATGAGTTCCCAGCCTTCAGGTAAGGGGTCGGTGTTTGTGCCGTACTTGAGAGGGGGGAGACCTGCGTCGGCGGCTGGGAGGGTGCGGGTTTCGTTGCTGCCGTGCGGTTTGGCGGCTTCGGCGCGGTAGACTTCGCGGATGGCGGCTTTGTTGTTGTACTCGACTTTGACGGCGATGTCGGCGGGGTACACTGTTTTGCTGAGTAGGCGCACTATGATCCCCCAGGTGAAGCGGGCGCTGCCCATCCATCGCAGGTTTTCTGTTCCCAGATCGGATTCGGCTACGATACCAAGGGACTGGGAAAGGAAAGAGAGTGTGCGACGGCCGCCCTGTGTCACTGATGAGAGATCCAGCGACATACGTAGGCCTTTGACAATGGCCAAGGCAGCTATACTTGGATCATTCGTCCCGTTGAAGTTGAGACTCATGGCATTGCCTGAACCGCATGGCAGTTGAACGACAGCCATCTTGGCCAGAGCTTTCGCAGCATCTGGCCTTTTAGCCAGCCCATTCCAGACTTCATGTGGTATGCCATCTCCAGAACAACATGCTACGACGTCGAATGCGTCAATGTCCATGTTCTGTGCAATCTCTACACCATGTCCGTTGTGTGTCGTCTTCTCCACATCCAGCTCGCATCTTGCAGCAGCAAAGATGGGCGCAATCTGCTTGTTGTACATCTTGACGGCGCCGCCTTGCCCTCCAAACGGATTGACGAGCACCTTGACCCGCTTTCGCCGTTGCGACGCTCCGTAAGCGCGATCTAGAAGTTTCTCTATCCATGCTTGTATCAACTGGCTGTCGGGCTTATCAACGTGGTAGCTGATGGTGGCCGGGCGAACGGATTTGTTGGATACCGTCTGCGCATACTGAATTGTAATATGGTCGCTGTCCACGAGCTCGGCCCAGAGAATGTTGTAAAAGGGTATTGAGCGAGTGGCTTTCTTCTCTGTGTAAAGTCAGCGGATGCCGTGCGCCTGTACATTGCAGAGGTGGTGCGTACTGCCAGGAAGAGGTAGGTTACAGCAATTGGCGCTTTTGGCATCTACGAGAGCTTCATCTATCCTGTGTCAGCCATAGGGGGTTCACTGAGTGCCTGTCGACTGTGTCATACCCAAGATGACGAGGGTTTCGGTGCCCAGAGTCAGCGAAGCATCTCTGTTTATAGCGAGCGAGTCGGGAGCATTGATGCGCTCGTGGGGCTCTGATGCGCGCGGTGCTTGCGAGGGAGCGGAATTAGGAATCAGAGGGACGGTGGGTTCTGTAAAGGCATCGCCTGCACCGGCAGTGGAGGCCATGGTTATCGCTGGATTGTACGGAGGCCACACAGCATGCTGTACACAAGGTTGGATCAACGAGTGCCTGCGACAGACTGTATTAATTAAAGGTTGATGTCGGTCGCTCGGTCGCGCTCAGATGCGCGGACGCGCGGATCAGACGGGCGGGTCTGATGCTAAACAGGAGACAGGGAATGAGCCAATGGACCCTGCGTTGCTCAGCCGAGGCCCAATGCTGATTGGTCGACAATGATGGTGAACTGATTTATTCTCGTCTTCTCGCTACCAAAGCCATATTAACCTTAGTCTCTCATCACGTAGCCCATTTTCGAGCCATGCTAGCCCAACCGTTAAGTAAGCCCTATACCTTTTCTGCACCCATCGCATATGTATACACCCGCTCATGCTACGCCAACCTTGTTGAGGCCCTTCAGTGATCCTAGGCTCAGTGCCAGGCCCTGCGAGCGACTGCGTATGCGCACAAAGCCGGTAATGGGCCCATTGTCTCCTTCCTTTTCTATGCTCAGGTTGGCCAAAGCATCCTCACCTGGACCGGGTTAGCCATTGCTAATAGTGCGGGGGGAAGCAGGACTTACCAAAAACGCTTCTTGCGTACAGATTTGCCGAGAGAAACTGACAGTCGCCCTTCATCGATGCCTCGGGCGTTAGGCAGCTCATGTTGGTGCTTGCCATGAGCTGGCTCAAGAACTCACGCAGACTCTTGGCCTTGGAGTTGATGTTGACCTTGTTCTCCCATTCAAACTCAGTCCACATGGTGCGGAACTGCGTCTCGGTGCATTGTGCTGGCTTGATGTAGTCCATAATGTCCACATGTACATCGTTGAGAATAACGACATTCGAGTCGACACCTTTCTCACTGCTATGCATTAGCCCAGCCCTCATCAAACCATCACACTGTTGCACTTACCCTTCGTAGATGATGTTTCCAAAAATGACGCCAGTGTCCGTCGACGAAACTAGTCAAGTCAGCGTTCTAAGCTCGTCTCAACACAGGCACAATTCACTTACCCTTGATCGTCGCTTGGATGTTGATAAAGTCGTGAGGGCCGACATTTTGAGTTGAAGGTCGTTCGACTACCTTGAGGTCGCCCAGTGTCGCAAACTCAATCGTAAGGTTCTGCAACGTCTCGGTCGTCTGGTTCACAAGAAGCACATCGAGTACAATGTCAAATTGATGGACCTGCAAACATTAACACATGCCTTTGCCCTGCTAGCAACATTATGCGTTACCTTGACATAAGCTTCTGCGTATACCGCATCAGAGAAACCTGTGAGCTGTACAACACGGCTGAGTTTCGATGTGAGATCCTCGGTCGCGCTATCACCTCCGGTAGCTCTCTCCAAGTCTTGGTCAATCTCATCAATGCCGTCCGAGTCCTTCTTCTTCAGTTGGCGGATGTTGAAGGCGTCATCAACGTTAACAGCTGATTTGGCTCTTTCTGAAGCCTCCTTGGCCGCTCGCTTCTTTTCTTCTGTCTGCACCATTGTTCGGAAAGATTTCCGTGTGTCCTCGAGGAACACTGTTTGAATTTCCTTTCTTTGCGCAAATTCCGACAGCGAGCGCACACAAGACATGATACGATCAACAGAGTCCTCGTCAATCAAGGTCTTGACAAACTGTGATTGACCTACACGGATAATGGAAATCATAATCAACATGGCCTCTGCACGAAGGGCGTTTGTGCGTGCAGCATCCGTCGAGATTTCCCCATGTCGCATCACCAACTTAGTGAGGGTACTCGACAGAACCGTAGCAAGGTAGTAGTCGCCATCTAGGAGAAGTTGTCGAAGTGGAGGCTTTTGCGAGTTTTTGACCGCCTCAAGTTTTGCCTTGGCGGCAGCTGATGATGTGAGAGCGCTTTCAGTTGCGTACGTTCCATCAGCAAGCACTTTTCGCGATCCGGTCGGAGCAGCTGCCTTTGCGTGCCCGTTGACTTGGTCAGACGAGTCTTTGCCTTCCGAAGCCTCGTCAAGTAACCTTTGCTCAGAGGCAAGGATTGGGATTTCACCAAGTGATGATCGGATGCCCTTCCAGGCGTCTCTGATATCCTTGGCTTCCAAGGAAAACTCTCCAATGATCCAGAGCACGCCTCTATAGACTTTGCCAGCGCGTACTTCACCAAGTGTCGATACCAGTCGCTCAATGATAGAGACTCTGAGGTCGGGGAAGCGCTCGACAACCTCCTTTACGAATGAAATGACGTCTACTGCAGAGGCGTTACTGCTGACATCAGAGATAAAGTCCATAAGCGATCCGACAACGCTTGCGGCGACCTCCGGAAATTTGATGGCTGCCGAGTGTATCGAAGAGATGAGCAGTGACCGGTACTCAGAGTTCTTCTCGTACTGTTCATCCACCGTCTTCATCAGCTCCTTCTTTAGCAGGAGGACAACCTCTTCGACATTTCTGCTCGAGATCATCTCCATGGCGATACCGAGTGACTTTTTGCGGACATCCAAGTCGGTACTGGACAATACACGAAGAATCTCCATGGTCAAGTCATCAAGAACACCTTCGTTCTTATGCCGTAGTTGATCGACCCGCTCCAACACTATCAATTTGACATTGTTATCCGGTTCCTTGATAGCCAAGTCGACAAACTTTCCAGCGGCCGCCTTGACCGCGACCGGGTTGCTCGTAAGCGTGGTGAGTGCATGTGCGGCCTCGTAGATAACGGTCGATACCTGCGACTCAAGGAGGTCAAATATCAGTCGGAGATAGCGTGCCTTGTTTGAAGGGTTGACAATGGCATCCTTGCGAATAAACTCCAATTCTGCGAGCAATAGAAGCTCCTCGTGGTTAGGTATAGCATCAAAGACTGTGCTCAAGTATTCGAGGGCCTTATCATGGCTGACGGAAGTGAGGGCGGCGAATGCATTGCGTTTGCACGTCGGATCGTTTTCGTCGTCCAAGAATGTTACGAGGAGATCGGGCGCATCTGGCATGAGCTCGGGGAGGTGTGTAAAGATGGATGCAATCGCAAAGGTTGCATTCTTTCGGACGTATGCGTGTCGGTGTGTGAGGCACTGGCGCACCGGTTCTAGCATTGCGGTCAGCATGGCGCCTGGAACTGCATTTGCTACAGCACCTACGTAGTAATGGCTCTACAAGTTCTGCATCCCGAAGCTTAGTTCTGTCCAACGTATCAGCAGTGCTCAAGCAAGTGTTATCGGCAGCCATACACAAAGCGCAATGTGTTTCCTCGCACGTATTCGTTGGGAGCCTGCAAGTCGAATCGAATCGCATTGCTATACCATTGTCAGCGGCCATATTCCCTCAGTCCTATATCCCGCACACAGATACACCTACCAGACCAATATCCACTCCTGACGTAGCTTGCCCTGAGCGTCGTGTTTTGGGCACACCTCGAAGAAGAAGTACATGAGCTTCTTTAGCGGCTTTGACTTGCTGGGCATGACGAATCGGATAATGTGCATGAGGAGCCCGGTCTGAGGGTCGCCGTTGAGCATGATGGACAGGATCTTCTTCTGTCGGGTCGTTAGATGGCCAGCTGGACCAAGGCGGGGCAGTTGCAATTGCGAGGGCGCACCATGGTCTCGATCTTCTGCTCATCGCTGCCCTTCTCGAGGGCAGTCTTGAGCTCATTCTGGGCGGGAACATCGGCTGCATTGTCCTGGTGCACCTGTTGCGCTCCGTCAGCTTCGCCCAGCTCCATGCACTGCCAGGTGTTCGTACCAGACTGTACGAATTCTCTAGAAAGGTCGCCATGATGGCGCGTGACTGGTGTAGGCGGTTTCCTGTGAGTCCTGAAGTATCCAGCTACAATGGCGTGGTTCTCGTGGTGGCCGTCAATGCTCACTTTCCCTGGGTGTCGAGAATAAGTGGGATGCTACGTGTTTTGATCGAGTGCGGTGGTAGGGAGCGTTGTGCGGGCTGGTGTGGCCGCAGCCTGGCGGAATGGATGCGGAGATGGAATGGCCTTGGGCGGAGAGGTGGCTTCTTTGTTTCCCAAGGTTCAGCGCTTCCGTTGTCGGGGTTCATGTGTATACGTCCAGGTGTCTGCTCGAGAAATGGTCGTAGCACAGACCACCTCGCACTAGTAGAGTGCTCCACCGAAGATCGTGAACGCGGCGACGACTCAACACCAACTACCAAACCGACGCGTACATAAATATCACATAGGCAGAGTCTCCCTCGACCACGAGCGACAGCAGCCATGAGCACTAACGAGCCATTCTACTTGCGATACTAGTACATCAGCCTACTTGCACCTCCAGCACGTGCCTACCACTAACGCTTTGGCAGCTCTGGTCATCAAGGCCGCTTCGGACACGAGTTTCTGGGTTGGTGATTGTCCTTGAACGGCGGATGGCGACGATGCGCTGACATGGTGTAGAGTTTGACTTTCGTGTTCTTGGAGACGGCCGCAGCGCATCTGCACGCTATGCAAACAACTCGAACTACCGCAACGACTCACTGATCCGAAAAGAGAGTATGAAGAGCCGAATTTCTACGATGCAAACTTGCTAAATTTGTCAGTGTGTGTCAGCGACACCTTGGTGGCTGAGATCAAGCGTATTGTCAAAGAAAGCGAAATCCTCAAGTACGGCACTATTGTAGATACGCCGAGAAAATCATTGTACTAACTCGATGCTTAGAGAAGATGACACAAAGTGGCCTCAAAAGAACAAGGACGGTCGTCAAGAGCTGGAAATTCGGTTAGGGAGCGAGCACATCTCCTTTGAAGTAGGCTCCCTTATGACATGTTTAACCCATGGCATACTGATAATACCAGACTGCAAAAATCGGATCGCTCCAGGACGTGTCAGAATCATCGGACCCCGAAGGCCTGCGTGTGTTCTACTACCTGGTACAAGATCTCAAGGCTCTTGTCTTTTCTCTAATAGCCCTCCATTTCAAGGTAAGTGCGCTGTCGGATACGTCATGTACATTTTTTGACAGTGGTACAGATCAAGCCAATCTAAGCTTTTAATGACGGCTGGTTGTGTGGCCTGTGGGCTCGCTGATCCCGGGAGAAGGGTTGTCACCACAGCCACAGCAGACGGCACGCATTTTTATTTGCATCCGACGGAAGATCAGACACACGGAGTCGAGTAAACGAATGAACATATCTCCACAGCTGGCGGTGTCCAACTATGCCCAGCTCTGCGTAAAAGGGCGTGCAGATATTGATGTTGAACGCATGCTGGCGAGGGAGCTACTAGCACTTTGACCAACGACATGCAGGCCTCATGCTCGGATAAGGGTTTGTTATTCTAGATAGACGCACGTCTGTGAATTTATCCATCAAGGTTGACGTGCTTGCATGCGTGTTCCGGCGCGATGAAGCTCGCCATGGGCATGGTTGAATGTTTGGGTCCTATGTCATGCCACGTGAGGCTAGTGTCTTTCCCCGCGAACATAGGCGCAGGCCTTGGATCCACTCATCGCCTAGACACGTCCGCCGCCGAGTCCAAGTCACCGTTCCAGCCCGGGCATGCATCTCCTCGCCACGACTTTTTGAACCCTGAACTTCCTACTATACTGTACACCTGCCCTTCCCATCGTTGTCTCGTCCCATGTGTGCTTAATCAGCCTCCCTCCTTGTGAAACCGTCGCCCCACTCGAGCGGACAATGCCGACACCGGATGATGCCATGGTCCCGTCGGTGGAGCACGAGAGCATCGCCGGCCGCGCGACCTGTCCCCCAGACGAATCGCGCTCCCTTACTGCACAAGAATTGAACCAGCTGCGACTGTCAAGCCACAGCAGCGATGCCAGTCGTGCATCCCATGCGCCCATGCAGCAGCCCATGCAGCAGCCCACTCCACCTCCCCAGGATTCTCGAGAACATGGCCAGACGCCAGCGGATACCAACAGCAAGCCCTCGAGCGCCGATATCGAGGCCCCAGCCCGGGACATTCCCACGCCCATGACTGCTACCGATGACGGCTCCGAAGAGCAGCGCACATCGCAGGCATCGCCACAGTCTGCCATTACGCCCGTTTCACTTCTCGCCAACCACGTCTCGTCGCCATTCCCTGCGCATAGGGTGCGTTGAAACCATGCATGCGATGAGTTTAGCTGATAGCAGAACAGTTTCTACCAAACTCTTCGTCATCCCTCCTCCGACCCGGAAGTCGCTTTGTGGGCAGTCAAACCTCCGATCGTCAAAAATACGAAGTCGAAGTCGAGATAAAACATGTCGATATGCGCGAGTCCTTCATGTGTGGATACTTGCGCATCAAAGGTATATACCCGTTGTGCTGCCATGGTGACCCTGGATGCAAAGACTAACTCGTCGACAGGGTTAACCGAGGATCATCCCAGCTTGACCACGTACTTTGAGGGTGAAATCATCGGAAGCAAGTACACGTTCATTACACAGCATCCTGAATGGGGCTCCAACGAGAAGGTTGACCGCCAACATTGGGCTCGATTCCCTGCTTATAAGCCGCTGTCCAAGAACTTGTCGCGCCCCGAGCTGGTGACCAAGGACTGGATGCACAAGGAGCATCTCTTCATGCGCTGGAAAGAGTATTTCCTTGTGCCGGATCACCGAGTCCGGACAATAAGCGGCGCAAGTTTCGAGGGCTTCTACTATATCTGCTTTAATCAGATGTCTGGCGGCATTGAAGGCATCTACTTCCATGCTAAGAGCGAGAAGTAAGTCTGGAATATGGCACCCTGGCCAGGACGCAGCTAACAAAACTCCAGGTTCCAGAAGCTCCAGCTAGAACACGTTCAAGATTTTGGGTGTCAGGGCGCCATTGAGTTCCGATGATGTTAACGATTACACGAATTTGCATTTTTTGGGATGGATTTAGCATATGGGCGCACTCTGGGGATCAGCTTTGTTGTATGGTATCAGTTTGGCCACGGACCGTATGCAGCGTGCGACACGGCCGTACATATTTCTGTAGCAACGGGGCTTAAGACATGGAGACGGCATTACGTCACCTATCGAATCTGTGCACGCACTGTAGCGCCAACGGTTGTGTTCCTCCACACGTCGTGGGCCAGAGGCGACCCTGGAGCTAGTGAAAAAAGCTTGATCCACATGGGCCTCGCTTCGTGATAGGCGACCCATCTACCATTACCTCAGCACCTGCATTTCCCTTTTGACTGACCCAACTGTGTCTGTCCGCCGACTTCTGTACATACGCCCAAAAAGTTACGATGCCAGGCGAACCTGCAAAGCGCACGAGGCGCGAGGAGTACAAGAAGTCGTTGCAGGCCGACGAGCAAAATGCAGCCCTGCCGAAGAAGAAATTCTACAGACAACGTGCCCATGCTAACCCATTTTCGGACCACTCTCTCACATAGTACGGTGGCTTCGTGATTCTTTTTTCGTATGTTTTAGCTGCTGACATGGCGCAGTCCCAAAAGCCCCGCAGATATGGACTGGGCCAGCCTGTATCCCGCCTACGCCAAACATCAGAAGCAACCAACAGAAGGAGAGACGGCGAGCGAGTCACATGACGTGAGCGTAGAAGAGCAACGGAAACTCAACGAGGTGACGAAGAATGTCGAGATTGCTGATATCGGGTGTGGCTTTGGTGGCCTGCTTTTTGCCCTTGCGCCCAAGTTTCCCGATACATTGATACTAGGTACTGTAAAATTCCCCTTCATCTTGGAGATATATATATATTTCCTTTTCCCCTTCTAGTTGTATTCTACGCGACAAAAGAATATATGCTATATACTAACACGAACATTCAGGCATGGAGATCCGCACATCAGTCACAGAGTACGTGCAAGAAAAAGTACGCGCCCTGCGCATCCAAAACGCCGCAACAAACGACTACCAAAACGCATCTTGCATCCGCGCCAACACGATGAAATTCCTACCCAATTTCTTCCAAAAAGGCCAACTCTCCAAGATCTTTCTCTGCTTCCCGGACCCCCATTTCAAGCAGCGCAAGCACAAGGCGCGCATCGTGTCATACACGCTAAACTCGGAATACGCCTACGTACTCCGTCCCGGTGGCGTCGTGTACACGATTACCGATGTGCAGGATCTGCACGAGTGGATGAAGGAGCATTTTGAGAAGCATCCAAGTTTTGAGCGGGTTGAGAGGCGGTTTGAGGAGGGGGAGGGTGAGAGTGGGGAGGGCATAGATGAGTGTGTCAAGGCGATGCGGGTGGAGACGGAGGAGGGAAAGAAGGTCGAGAGGAATAAGGGGTTGAAGTTTGTGGCGTGCTTTAGGAGGATTGAGGATCCGCCGTGGCCTTGATGAGTGTTTCAGGTGCTTTCCAAGGAGATTTTGGAATGGATTTGTATCTTGGATACTTTCTGGAGCAAATGGCACACTTGTTGCGCGTATGTAAAATCTGGAGGAGAGCATCTACGAAGGCACAGTGAAAATAGGGTTTAAGCGGAAAGATAACAGTCTATCTATTGCTCTATATTCTTCCTTTAGAAAAACGTCTCTAAGATGTCTCTAGCTTTGGGCGAAAGGCAGAATAATAAGAAACTAAACGTCTAAAAAGGCCCCTGCCTTACAACTTGGGAAATCTCACCCTCAAAAACTGGTTTGGCCATGCGACGTCAAGGCCCAACTGCCATGCAACACGCAGAACCCACTCGGGCTCCCTCATAAACTGACGCGCAACCAGCACGACATCAGCCAATGGCTCTTTACCCTCTGTAACCCGAACCGCAGCCTGCGCCTCCTTAGCGAGTTCCTCATCCCCAGCCTTCGAAGCACCGCTATCTTTAACAATATCCCTTGCCTGTTCCGCCTCGGTAATCAAACCCACAGCCCCAATAAACAAGCTAAGATTCTCCTTCTTAAGCTCGCTACGGATCTGTGCCGCGATCCTAATCTGGTAGTCCTTGGACTCGAACATATTGATGCGCTGCTCGGGATGATTGCCTCCGCTGCTTACATCAAGGAGGTCGACACCGAGGGCCGGCAGCAGCTTTGCAAGGCGAATCGAGCTTTCAACATCCCAGCTACCGAGCTTCTTTCCGAGCTCCGTTTCTTCCATCCAGTCGGTGGAGCTGATGCGGAGGTACAGAGGCATGGAGTCTGGGATAACTGCACGGATAGCCTTGATGATTTCGAGCAAGAGGCGGGTGCGGTTCTCAAAAGAGCCGCCGTACTTGTCTGTTCGCTGGTTGGTGACGGGGGAGAGGAATTGGTGGATGAGGTAGCCGTGTGCACCGTGGATTTCGATAACGTCGACACCGGCTTTGACGGCGCGCTGGGCGGCGGCAGCCCAGTCTTGAACGAGCTCTTGGATCTCGGCTTCGCTGAGGGCGCGGGGAGCCCAGTATCCGCTGTTCTCGTCGTCGGCTGGTAGGCTGTCCCACACCCATTCCTGGCCGCCCATGGGTCCGACGACGTCGGTGGGCCATCCCGAGGCGTCTACGTCGGCCTTGACGCTTACCTTGCGCTTTCCACCTTGGGTCTTTTGGGAGCCGGCAATCCAGGGTGCGCAGGTACTGGCCTTTCTGCCAGCATGCGCCAGTTGGATGCCGCATTGAGCTCCTTGGCTCCTGATGAAATCGGACACCCTTCGCAATTCGGGGATTTGCGAGTCACTCCAGAGGCCAGGGCAGTTTGGCGAGATGCGGCCATTAGCTTGGACGCCGGTGGCTTCAATGAATACCAAGGCGGCTCCTTTGAGGGCGTAGTGGCCGAGGGTGGCAATGTGGTAGTCGGTCAATGCGCCGGTTGAAGGGCCTTCAGATGCTGTGCTGTACTGGCACATGGGGGCCACCTGGATACGGTTTCTGAGTGTGGTTCCACGGATAGTGAGGGGCGTGAAGAGTGTCGGAACTGGAGCATCTTGCTTGCTTGAGGGTGGAATGGAGCCAGGACTTGTGTCGTGTTTGGGCGTGAAGTAGGGCAGGCCTGGGACGCCGTGGTTGTAATCTTGAGGTGCCATTTTTGGGGATTTTCGGTTACAACTGGCAAAGAGGTCGGCGTCTGGAGTCGATGGCGAGTGTGCAGTCTTATTAAAGAGTTCTGTAGCAAGGATTTAAATAGCAAGGATTTAAACAATGTTTGGTAGTGCAGCACGCCATAGGAGTGATTTGTAAGATGCCGAGGTAGATTTCCACCTTCCGGTTTCACCACGAGAAGTAGTTTTTTTTCTTCTAGTTAGATGTCTTGCTTATCAAGACTGTTTGACGTGGTGCAACCCTCAGCCAATGATCTGTGCATAATTATTGCCGATACCAATCGTCGGATTTAAGCTCACTTGAAAATACATGACTCCGTAGGCTGTTGTGGGGCGGGATGATCGTCGTCTGAAGGACGTGAACAGCAGCATCTCGAATGCGAAGGTAAGCGAGGACTACAAGGACAAGGTCAGTGGCTTGATGTGCAACTAGGATGGTAGCAAGTGCAGGGTCCAGGCTCTCCACGCGTGACTGCGCGTCTGTCACGGATCGGTGATGTAGTCTCGATGACGTCAACCATTGGTCGTCCCATATAGTCCAGAGACCGCCCACTGGCAATGTTTGTACTCCGTATCTATCTTTGCTACATCATACAAATATCCCTTTGATTCATCAAATATCTTTTCAACTACACAACTTTCTCAAACACAACATCATGTCTGCTGCACCAAACCAGCCCGGCCTCGTCTCCAGCCACGCCCAGTATGTCAAGGGCGCCACTGAAGTAAGTAGTATTTACGTCTCTTTGCACTCTACTGTTATCCCTTTACTGTATACTAACAAGCGTTGAAGGAGACCATCGGAAACGTGACAGGCAGTGAGCCATGGAAGGCATCAGGCGCCTCGGACAAGGAGCAGGCCGTAGAAGCTATGAAGGCAGCGTCGGCAAACCGCGACCCACAACAACAAGGCATGGGCGGTCTTGAAGAAAAGGCAGGCAACTTGGTTGGATGTGAAGGCATGCAGAAGGAGGGCGCTCAGAGCAAGCAGCAATAGAGGGCAGACTGCTACCAAATTGAATCAGCATCACTTCTATCATCATCACTTTATATATACTACATAATTGCGAGATAGTAGCTCTACACCCACGTGTGCTATGCATTGTAGCACCCAGGAAATATCTTTTGGCATCGTGTTTTTTATTTCAAATTGCATTCGGTACTATGCCAGCTTTGTCTAAATCCAGTCCCTGCTATCTAATAGATGCTGTAGTAAAAGGGAGAGTATTGAAACGACTAGCGCCTTGGACTGACGACCGAAGAAGCATACATCTCTCTAACAACTCGACAACATCAGCGTCTTGCCCATGTCCTTTCTATGTGCGAGCGATGCTGTTCAAGCTGGCCGGCGTATCTGGATGCTTGCGGATTTCCAGCTGCAGAGAAATATAATTCCTTTTTTGCCTAGCTTCGCGATGTGTTTTGCGTAGGGTGTCACGCATTCAACACTTCACCTCCCTTCTGCAAGCTCATGCGCCTGCCTAAAGTCCCCAGGAGCTTCCACTGGAAATCCTTGCTTGGGGTTTCCACCAAGTTCCATTAAATCTCTCGAACTGTGTTCTGATATCTCCCAGTGCTGCTTTGTTATAGCTGCCTCGTTGCCTGGTTGACCCGGTCTCCCCTGCTCTGATATTGGCGGCCATTGTCCCGCTAAGGATCCTACCTCGTTGGAAACTTTGCGAGACCTCTGGCGATGTCGATAGAACTAGAAATAATAGATTACAACATAAATTAGCACCGCACTAAGGGTAGAGCCCACACCGATGCCGACGATAGCGCCTTTAGGAAGGGTCACATCGCTGTTTGATATTGGTCTAGGCGCTTGAGTACTAGGGGGCGTAGAGGATGATGAGACGATAGTGGTTGGTGAGGTGGTAGTGGTTGATACTACTATAGAAGAAATCGTGATTGTACTGGCACCTGTAATAGTATCCGAAGTGATCATTGCACTAGTTATATACGTTTATTACGTAAAAGCCGCCGTAGCTGGCGCTTGGGCTGCTGGGGTAGGGCGTGGTGCAGCTTGGCGGCGTAGTTATAGTTTGTGTAGCTAGGGCATTACCTACTGTAGTAGCATTGTGTTGCGAACTGGACACCAAAGATTGAATAGCCTGCCCGTGAGCAGTTGCTCTCTGTTAGCGCTCTTGGTTTAACTCCTTAAACACTGTAGTTAGGATGCGGCCGTCCCTATAACCGTTTCGAACTTTAGGTTTCGGAGGTAATCCTCTGAGTTTTCTTGTAAGGCTGTTCTGACCTCTTAGGTATAATAAGAGAATCTAACTCACAAGTTGCCGCACGAAGTAGGCTCTAAGGAAACAATGTTAATTGAAGGCCCGCCCAGAACACGCTTATTGCCATCATCGCCCATATAGTCTTGGTAGGCGTAGCCGTCGACACAAATGGCTGTGACATTGCGGGGGCGCAATCGGACGTCTGGGAGTGGCGGTAGTAGAGATGGTTCTAGTGTTGGGCCTGTAGAAATGGGGCTGATCTTCGGCTGATCTTGAAATTTGGAACATGCTAAGTTAGGGAGATTTGCATTATAGCATGATTGTGCCCAGATTGGCGCTGCACTAAGTAGGATTATAGTAGTGATAGGGAAGTAGGGAAGTCTCGCCCACAGCCAATGTGGTTTTGCCATATCAATCGATAATAGTAAATTAGGATAGTAGATGAGGACGGTGGGACTAAAGACGGAGTTTTCGTTCGCTATTATTACATAGAGTAAAAGTAGAAGCTTTTAAGTACTTAGGAGAACTGACTAGTGGGATGTACACACACCCTGAAGAGGTTAAACGCATACTCCCCTGTCTGCCTTACGTCGTCTAGGCCTACCTACTTACGCGAGAATGTAGGGGCGGAATCCCTCGCTAGCGTTCTCTTTCTCCCAGCTATTGTTTCTACATGTATTACAAGCTAGAGAACCTAATGCAAAGCTAAAGGGTTTAAAGCTAAAGTAAAGGGGAAGATAACGTTAGAACAGACAATAAGACTAAGCAATTATATGACAGGTCTATAGCAGCCATTAAGTAGACTCTATGGACATTATATTATAGTAGAGTAAGAAGGTGGTCTTTAGGATCTGCGTTAAGCTGGTATTTGGCTATGCACTTACTTTTTGGTAGCCTGACCGATTGCTTTCATTTTTGGCAGGCCCGACGGCCTTAGGTAAACCTAACTACTCTTAGTAAGGTAGATATCGGGCGTTACTACTTAATAGGAATAAAAAAGCGATTAGGTTTCAGGTGGTATTGACATGTGCCTAGACTATTCTTAGCATCTTCCGCGGATGGCATAGCGTTAAGTTTGTTACGGTAACTCTTGGACTAATACTGTACTTACAACTAGATCACCTGAGCTCGCTGAAGCTAGCACCTCTGGACATCTCTTAGCATGTTGGCGTAGATGAATCCGAGTTTCAATTCTGTTGGTCCTCGTAAGCTCTGAAGCTCAAAGGTAGTTGCCTGTACACTGAGTAATACTCCGGAGCTTCCGAATTGTCAAACTCTAGGCCTAATTATGTTTTCTTACCAGTGTACAGCTATCTTAGTTTCAATGCGTTCTGTTAGAAATAAACGATAGTAAGAAGTGTTTATGCGATTTTCTTCTTCCATAGCAAAATTAAAGGCGGACTCTGATGAACAATATATCTCTAGGAGAAGAGATTATGTTGTAAGTTAAAGAGACTAAGCATAAAAAAGAGAACATTTTCCTGCGCGGTAGATTTACCTGTGGATAGGGGGGTATGCTAGATCTTCCTACGCAAGGTCTCTTAATGTCAGCTACTGTAAAGCGAGAGTCATAAGGTAGCGAGACAGCTCAGCACTAAATACTCAATATGTAGTTTTATAGTAAGAGCTTTACCCTAATGATGTCGCAACAAGTTAGATAGCATTTAATTATTCTTATACTTATCTGTGAGCGAAATCTGCTCAACATGGTTAGTACTGTCGATCACTTCTTTGGCGCTCTTTAAAGTTTAACATTTTTCCTACCTCTGTGTCTGAGGTCTCAAGAAAACTAATCAATATCTTAAAGACCCAATTGGTAGTTAGCATTACATTTATTACATACCTTGAATCTAAAATTCATATCAACGTTATAGTCCTATTCCCAGAATTTCTCTGTGCTCTCACAGGGCCGCAATAGATAAGTTATATTTCTTAGTTCCAAGCGCGTTATTAAGTAGTCATCTATGTGTCACAAACTACGTCTATCGAATTAGAGCTCTGTCCAGGTATACAGATACTATCCTATTAGTATATAGCGAAGCGGAGAAAGTAGACTAGAGCAAGCAACTACCTAACATCAATGCCTAAGCACTAAAATAGATCAGCTACAACTGCATAGCTAAGGACGCTAGATAAGAGGTCTTTGATTAAAGAGGGAAAACTCTCTATAGCTATAGCTTACGACAGTAAGCCTAGATGTATATAGTACGGACTAAGTGTAGTTTATATACTATAAATACCTAAGAGGCGGAAGCATAGTACTCTAGTCGATAGCACGATCCTATTTGCAGGTATCTAAAGCAGTTAGACTAAGTCACACATAGTATTAGTAGTAGTAGTAAGAGGCTAACATTACTCCACTAGTCTCTAGTAAATAAACGCTTTACTAATTTAGTAATAGATTTACGTAAGGCACGAGTATCAATCACTCTACTCGTCGATAAAGCGGCGTCCTCCTTTTATGTATTAATTAGGGACTTTATCTATCCCCGAAGAACTAGTGTATATCTTTTATAATATCGTAAATAGGTAAATTTATAGTTTACGTAGTAGTTCCTATAACGTACTAAATAAGCGAGTTAACTAGGCAATTTAAGCACGCGGTTTAACTCTATACACAACCACTCCACGCTATATAATCTAAATACCTTTAGACGAAGCAAATATCTAGCTTACTATCTCTTCTCTTAATACCTATAAAATTCAGAGTAACCGACGTATAGTAGCAATATTTAACGTAACACGATTAACGCTATAGGATAGGCGCGATATATAAGGGACTACGCTCCGGAGAGCAATCGCGAGGTATATAAGAGATTATATTCGATAGAGAGCTAAGCTTCTAAGCTACGTAGCTATCTATATATAAGCTAGTTATCTAAGTAATAATTAGGCTAATAAATTTAAGATGCATAAAGTAACTTCTAAGTCCTATAGCTATCGTGTAAACGTCGTTTAGACGGTGCGCGAAGAATCTAGGTACTTAAGATAGCACTTAGATTCTATAAGTAGACTAAGATTCTATTAAGAAGTTATCTAAAGAGCGTTTAGTATATTATAATACCTCTCTTCTTAGAGTAATACTATACTATCATTCTAAAATTCTTCTAGAAGGCGTTCTTCACCGTCGCGTTTTACTTCTATAAAAGCCTCTTATTTGTCTACTATCTTAGCGATCTCTAGCAAATTTACTAGTTTAAGCATCGTTTAGTAAAACTCTTTCTACTTTATTTTAAAGTATAGCTTACGCTCTCTCTTATGTTAGCGTACTTCTACTACTATATAATATATATTCTAAAAAAATAGATTTTAAACGCCTCTAGAGCTAAAAAGAGACTAGCTTATGCTAAGGACCAGCTAAAAGAGCTTTCTGATATTAATTCTAGAAAGATATTATTCTTAGACAAGTGTGGAATAGAACGTAGATATAGATTTTAATTAGAATATATAAGAAAATGTAGACATTAGCAGCTAGGCTAAAACATTATCTTTACTAAGAATAAAAGTATCTTTAGATTAATATTTCTAATTTCTAATTTCTAGCTACAATATCTAATTTTTTAGATATTATATTCTTATTATAGTAGCTAAGTTACTAACAGAGATATAGATCCCAATATTACTATCTAAGTTTAGGCTACTATTTAGATAGATCAAAGATCTAATATAGTTAGTAGTTATTAAAACTCTAAAATTAACTATTAGCTATCGAAATTCCTACTATATTTAAAAGTGCCTAATACCTTACGTGAAACCTTAGATTAAAAGAGGTAAGTAATATATAATAATCTTTACTTATATTTCTATATAATTCTATATATATATAGATATATTAATCTAATTATATATATTAAACAGATTAATAACTCTAGATTAGAGTTTTAAATAAGATAATAGTAAGATTAATAAGGCTAAAAACATTTTAAGCTAGTTTCAAAGAAACTACATTAAGCTAATTCTATATATATCTTATGATTCTAATATATTTTATCACTAAGCGTGCTATATTACAGTTATAGGCAATAAGTTTCACCTTAGTTAGCTCCACCGCTCCACTAACACTAATCTAATCTACTTTTTTAAATGCCAACCACTAACGCTACACCACGCTAATTAGGCCATAAGCTATCTCAAAATATACGCCGTAGCTAAAATATAATAGTAGATAAATATAATATTACTATTAGAATACTACACGAGAGCGTAAGCTATAAAGATATAGCAGCGCGCTTTAACCCCGATCTATCCACTATTCGTTAACTATATAATAAGCTCTACTAGACTAGATTAGTATAGAATAAACCTCGCTCTAGCCGCCTATAGATACTTTTACGTTACTAGTAGAAGCTAATATATCGTACTATAATAAGCTAATCTAAAAATACTATATAAAGATCTTACTAAAGTTACTATCTTTATATATCTAGATAGTACCTCTTTAAAGCCTTCTAGCTACTAAATATTATATACAGTTCTTAAACGTTAAAAATTAACTAAGTACTACTATAAAAATAATCTAAGCTAATCTCTAAGTATACTCGTGGGCGCTATAAATTCGCATACTAGTATTAGAGTTTTCCTTAGCATTAGCGTACAGTTAAGTTCTTAGATAAGTACTTAGTTTAGAAGAGATCTAGTAGTACACAAGAGTAGTAATTTTAATATCTAGAAGAGAAATAGAAGTAGAGAATACTAATAGAAGTTCGTGCTAGCTAGAGCCTATAGTAGATAGTATAGGGGGCTATATAGGTAGATAAACGCAGCTAAGAGCAACGCAGTTCTCTCGTGATTATAGAAAGAGATCTAGATACTCTCTATAGTAGGTATAGCAGCCAAAGTTATATCTAAACTCTTAAATAAGGTCTTCTATCTTACTAGCGGCCCTTATAGCTTTTTATATACGATAACGCGCGTATATATACCGCCCGTAGTATACATAAGTTCCTTATCTACTATTAGATTACACCCCTTAGCTAGCCAGCTTACTTACTAGATCTCAATTCTATTAAGTATCTCTAGTAGATTCTTAAATAAAACATAAGTTACTTCTATCTATAATATGTTAATTACAGCAAATCTTAGAAATAGTTAGATAGTTTTTATAAGGCATTAAAAGAGTGCTAGCAGAGGATACCTAGTAGCTAAATTAAGGCACTAATTAAGTTAATACCGCAACGCCTCTACGCAACACGTAAAGCACGAGACTAGCAAACTAAATACTAGTATAGAAGAATTAATTCCATTTTTCAAACTTAAAAAATATACAGCTTTGTTACACGGGGTAAGGGTCTATACTTCTCTATCCTGGTCCGCACTAAGGCAGGTGAGTATTACGTTAGTGTTCCGTGAGGCTTGTCTGGCGATGCAGTGGAGTTGGCGTGCTTAAGGAGGGTTTGACAAGACTAATCTATTTGATAGACTAACTTGTGATAATCTTGTTAAGTAAAGATACTAGTAAGAAAGTACAATTTGAGTTGACCACAACGAGAGTAATAATGAAATCCATCTATCCTTATATCCTCATTGCTTCCAGTCCTGCCATCCCGTCCATCCCATCTTGGCGGGAGGTCTGGGATGGCGCTGCCATCCCTTTATGCACTGCCATCCCGGATGGCTAGCCTTGGCGGGATGGCACATCACGTGACTCCGAGCCCCCGCAATGTCCATTACCTTTTGACGTGGACGTCCCTAGGCTCGCGGCCATCTCGTCATTTGTCAAGGAAGAATCCTTCTTGTTACTTGTAACAAG